TGTTGTACCGCGCGATCAAAGAAGTCAAACAATTAAAGACCATCATGGCCCTCCGACTTTCGGACACATGGGAGTTTCTAAAACAACCACAAGAATAAATCAGAAATTTTACTGGCCGAAATTAAGATCTGATGTAGCACGCTATATTCGTAGATGTGCTACCCACCAACGTAATAAACCTGAACAGAAAAAGTCTGTAGGACAAATTTTTTTCTGCCCAAGTGACCGCATCAAGGCCTTGGGAACTCATAAGTTGCGACTTGGTTGGTCCTTTTCCAAGAACAACTGCCGGTTTCGCTTATATTTTGACTATCCTAGATTGCTTTAATAAATTAGCTTTTCCACTAAGATCAGCGACAGCCCCTAACATAGTAAACATTTTAGAAAACCAAGTTTTTTTTTGGATATGAGGTTCCGAAAAGAATTATAGTGGATAACGGCGTTCAAATCGTAAGTAAACTATTTAAGGACACCATGAGCCGCTATAACGTAGGAATAAAATTCACAGCACTAGGTTCTTTCGTTCGTCCCACTGGTGTAGAAATGAACTACACCAACGCACACCATACCTTTCGTTTGGCACGGTGTAAAATCCACTACACCTTCCTGTCGGCGATGTGGTGTCCAATGATGGATATTTTCTCCACCAGCTATTTATCAGGAGTGAATTACACTCGACATGTGAATCAGGAATAAGGAGTAAGTAAACTAGGTAAATAAAGGTGGTGTAACTGGTGTAATTTAACTGGTGGACACTACACAAATAGCGAACGCAAGAATTTCTTCTATAATCCACAGGCAAACCCAGTTGAGAGAGTAATCAAGACAATGCTAACCGCTTACATTTCGATTTACTTCTCCCAAAAATTACATGTGCGATTCGATCGTCGAAACACGATGTAACTGGAGTTACCCAGAGCCAAAAAAAATTTGGACGAGAAATTATCCTTAATGGTTTAGACATTATTCGTCCCATTTCCGTTGAACACAGTAAAATTCGATAAATCCGAAGCACTAGGTAAAAAATATATATATACTTTTAAAATGAACAAAAAAAGATATTAATCGACGGTTGGGACAGTCCCAATGGGACTATCACTATCGAAACGACACCTAGTGTTGTAAAATATCAAAATCACTTTTATTCGATTACATTAACCAAGCAATAGAGGACGTTGCAATTTTAAAACTATAAAATTGTAATGACTGCTAAAAGTGCTAGGGGGTAAAATAAGGCTTATATTAAAATTTTTAAAAGAAACATGGTTTTAATAAATTATCTGATCAGGATTTTGCCTAACTACCATGAATATACCCACGCTGACTTCCCGATTACTCACATATTACTCACAATTGCCCTTTACTCACAAAATTACTCACAGACTAGTAAATTACTCACAAATGTGAGGAATTACTCACAGATTGGCAACCCTGCTCACGACATGCCGCTGGGTCAAAATGGTGTACAGACAGCAGTGTAGAGTAGAACAAACGTTTGTTACAGCAAATGTTGGTTGCATACTAATCTGCGCATATAGGCGGGCTTTGTTTGTCAGTGGCGGGGAACGAAAATAAATGGAAAAATAGAAATACTTTTTTATGCATGTAATTATCCAAATTCGAAAGGTAATTAATTTGCTTTGTACAATAGGTACGTAAGTTGATATGCTTTTTAAATTTAGAATACACATGCAGGTTACTAAATGTACTACTTAATTGTATCCACTAAACAACCTAACTTACGCAGCATATATTTTAAGTTTATCATAAAAGTTTATCATAAAATATAGTTTTGGAAAACTTGTTAACTGCAATAAAGTACATATGTATATACCTACGTAGCAATAGGTACTTTATAAAAAATTAGCATAAGCAAGTTTTTAAAATAAAAGGATAATTTTTAAAAATTGTTGGTTTATTACTTTTACTAGATACTTAAACTAACGTAATTTTTTTTCTTTATAGACATTTAATACATAAGAGGAGAAAGGTTCAAATTAGAAATAACAATAAAAATGTACACTACGGTGCCTCATCGGACGATTCTGAATCTAAGAATTCTATTCCTAAACTATCAGAATTCTCATCATCTTCAGTAAAGCTTTCCTCTGATGAACCAGTGTTGACAGTAAATTTCAAGGTATCCATGGCTGCGTCCAATAAATGCTCCTTTTCGATTTGAGCATCTTCATAAATCTTCATAAAATACAATATCCCACTGCCTGCAGGTATAGAGTATTTTAAAGAAAACTATTTTAAATGAATGATTATTGTTAGAATTTATTGTTTTAGCCTATAGGTACTTTGTGAAATTATGTCAATACAGCAGAAGCATAAACATTTTTTTAATTTTACAATGGTATCGTATCTGTGTAGTTCCACATAATTAAAATATTATGTAATTAAAAATACTCACCTAAAATTCTTTAAAGGTATCAATATGTCCTTGGTAGCATTGAAGTGGGCCGCTTCTTCTTCCATAAATTTCGAAATATTATTAATGATTTCTTTTGTTTGACTGCGTATTCCCTGTCCCCTTCTACCAATTTTTTTCGGAGAGATATAGTCCAAATCCAAAGCCAATTTATTTCTAAATTAACTGTGTAGATACTAAACTTATACACTAACTATTATTGCTACTCTACTATAACTACTACGGCACTAAATTAAAAAAATAAGAATAAGGAAATACACCACCTATTCGCCTCTTTACGCTACGGTACTGGCCATCGCCGTGTTAGAGGTTGGTATGGTAACGATAGTCAACAAATCTACGGCGCAACCATCGGATCGACACGTGGGTGTACCAAACTTAAGTTTGTTTTACTCTACGCCGACGATACCTGTGTCTAAAGCCGAGTACAGATCTGAGCACCTATGCGTATGAGGCGAGCCAAAGACGCATGGGTATGCAGATGTGGACGAGTGCGTTGTGCGGCCTCTCCCCAATCCGTTTGTTGGCGGTACGTCAAAGGCAAGCAATGCGCAATACGTGCTCATTCTGGAAGGGAAATTCGTACCATATAGCACCGAACAGATTATAAAGAGTTTTTAAAGTTTATTTTGCATGAAGTGGAGTCAGGAAAACGTTTTGCTTCTCTTGGATTTATATAATCAGAGAGATATCTTATAGAGAGCAATATAAAACAATAAAACAGGCACCCAAACGTCACCAAATCCTTCATATATGTTTTAATTATACGAGTGTCCTGTGTGCACGGTTCCGTGCTCGCGAATTTAATGGATCACTTGAGAACAGTGCCTCGTGCGTCTACCATTTGTGTATAGAAAATACGCCGCTCGAGACATTCTGTTCGGCCTAAGCTTGCCTCAAGCGTACGTTATTAGATCTTCACTCGACTTAATCAGCAGACGCATGTAACAGCACTTATCTCCCTTATACCTCGTACCCTTCGGTACCCTGAAAGAAAACGCTTAAGAACCGGTAATAAAAGAAAAAGTGATAAATAACAAAATATATTTACAAAAAAGGACACCTGGTGCGCGGTATCGGTCGTCCTATATACAGAAAATAAATATTTTAATAATTAAAATTTAATTTAACTATTACGGTCGACTAATACAGAAGAAGAATTATTCCGCAAATTGAGTACACCCCTGTATACAGATAATTATCAGTAAATAAAATTAATTAAATACAACAGTTGGAAGCTACAGGAAAATAAATTGTTGGAAGCCATTTTTAGGTCGTTATACACCGTATTTCCAGTTTTCGCAAAAGCTAGTTTTACCTAATAAATTATATTACTGTATTTTTCCTCGACATCAAACAGTGACTTCTGGGCTCATAACCTGATAGAATATAATATAATAAAGACACAGATGACGAGTGATTTTATTTTATTTAATAGGTGCATGTACGTTACAACACAAATGACACATGGCCAACAATTAACATGGCATGACAAGAGACATGAAAATGACAAACAATAATACCAACGTAAACCTAAGAATACAAAACAATACTGTTTTAGTTGTTGATTTCCAACAGAGTATGGTAGAAAAACTGGTAAAACCACAAAGTCATGTTTTTTACTTGTTTTTTATTCTACCTAGGGCATGAGTGTTTTCTGTGTTCATGAAAATTTGTATAAATATTGTATGTGCAAAATGCGATGAGTGACATGTTTAGTTATTATTTTTCAGTTTTGTTTCTATATGTAGTTAAAGTATATTTTTTCTTTTTTTTTTTCAGTGCCGTGGAGTCTGGAAAAAAATCAGTTATAGATCGTGTCCCTTAAAAATGTTAAGAAATGCCTATAGCTCCTTGGGTTCGGGTTTTTATACCCGTTTTAATGGCTTTTTGTGACTTTAGTTTGTCGTAGCTCTGGTGAGGACGAATTTTTTTAATAATTTCATCCTAAGCGGCTTAAATAACTCGAATAAGTACTTTTATCCTAATTTTCCGGTACTATATGCACCGCCAACGTCCGTCGCCTTGTTGACAAATCAATTAATATGGATTTGAATATTGACACATTTTTTCAGATTTCGTAATTCAATGTTTTTAAAAAATATAGTGTATTGCAATTGGAAAGAACTAGCTGATTTTTGTATAACAATTCCCAGTAAAGCCTCCTTTCTGTAATATTTTTCATAATTTGTATAGAAATAATTAAAAAATAAGTTTTTCTGAATTTGGGTATTACAGCGAGATTTTCTATCATTTGGTTAGTGGGTATAGCAAATTTTATAAAGAAATGTGTAAAATTGAGAAAGAGAACCTTGAAGTCGTTTCCAACCATGGATATTGCTCTTAAGCATTTGTATCAAAAATAATAATAAAAATAATATAAGATGACATTTTTAAATAAATGTACTCAAACACCTAACAAAAAAACAATGGTATACTTGAGATTATTGGATATTTTTATAAAAAATAAAGGACTTCTTTATTAAAGATTGGATGATAATTGTTATCTTAATTAATCTTAATGTAATCATCTGATTTACTTAGGTAAGTGGTTTTTACTTATAAATGGAAAATTCAAAAAAATAATCAGCTATATTTTTTGTGAAACCGCCACACAAAAATGTTTGTTTCAAAAGTCCTATTATTAATTGTGGGTTTATCCTGTATTTCCTACAGTGCACAGGTAAATATTTAAAAATGCACATATTTTTTAGTAAATGAGTACACAAAATCTTCGTTATATATTCAAGGAAATGTAATTGAATTCTATCAGTTCAAGCGTTGAGACCTCATCCCTAAATGGTTAAACGATAAATAAATTCTTTCAAATTATTTTGAAAAGTTAACATTTATTACAAAACTTTGTAATAATAATCGTTTGGTTTATATAATAACACTAAGTTTAAATTTTCAACCATTTCCAAGGTCCGGAACTAGTTAATGTATATCAATTATCATAGAAGAGAGAGTGAATGTTTAAAAATTATTGGCAAGTGATCCATTTAAAAAATGTTTACCCATTAATTTGTATTATAAAATTACCAAATATACCTAAATTTTGCAAATGTCCTTCATGTTTGTTGGAACCAGATGGAATACTTTTATATTATTGGTTTTGTGAAAACATGTATTCTTGATAAAAAATTATGCATGGTCCAAAAACTTAAAATACAACCATCAGATATCAATTTTTTAATCCATTTACGAGGTTCCTCAAAAAATATGATTTTTGCTGAAAAGTAAAGTACCTTTATTTTTGACAAACCTCGTAAAGGACTAATAAAATTTGATATCCGACGATTGTATCTGAGGTTTTAGATATTTAAAATTTTTAAAGCAGTTTTCCAAATAAAGGTACTGCATTTAAAAACATAAAATATCTATAATCTGTTGCAATTTATAGTAGAAAATCGTCTCACTTTATACATGAAGGAAGGTTGTATATTAGCCGGAACAGAGACGGTGCTCCAAAATGGACTATAAAAATTTATGTTTTCTGTTTGGGGAACAAACATGAAAATATTAATATTTCGTAAGAATGTTTTCCAGATTATATTGTGCAATGAAAACAGTTAATGACTATGAGGTATCTGATAAAAATAATTGATGAATTGAAATTTAGTATTTGAACTCTCTCAATATTACTAATGGTTTGATAAACAATTTAAGAATTTTTCGCTGAAACAAGTCGGTTTCTATTTTCGTATTCGGAAAAACAGATTGTCTCAATAACATTGTATTAAAAGTGAAAGTACCTAATAAAAGTGTAAGGTACCTGTAGGATTAAAACATTCAATTTCAGGGTGTGCATTTTAACTAGCGAATTAAGGAAACAAGTAGTATTCACGATATATATTCCTCCAAAGCCCTAAAAGAGACTGTTTTTTTTAACAAAAATACCACAGTCAACTGTATACAAAATTTTACAGGAAGAGGCATCACCTAGAAAGGTGCGAAAATATTCTGGTTCATCTCGTTGCATTCCACAGTTTCTTTTAGAACCGATTAGGGAAACAAATTATAAAATTTTCTCTGTAAATAATTTGCTTACTTTCAAAACGTTATTTTTACGTCTAAAACAAAAAACGTTTATAGAAGACTGTCATAAAACGACATTATGGAGATTTTTAAAATCCAACGGCTTTAAATTTAAAACCATTAATTAAAGACAAACAATTATGGAATCCAGTCGTTTAGTTAAATGAAGAATATAATATCTCGCTTTAATTACAAAGTATCGACGAGAGGGCATAAACATTAATTTTTTAGATGAAACCTGGTTCGACACTCACGACATCATAAAAAAATGTTGGACTGATGGAAGTTTAAAATGTAATGTAGACACTCCTCCATCTCGAGAAAAAAGAATATGTATCTTACATTATAATGGAGTCTGCAAAGGATGTACGGGATAGTAGTTTGGACTACCACCAAGACATACAAAGTATTCTTTTTGAAAAATATTTTGAGATTTTGAGAGTACATTACTACCCAAACTAAATGAAAATAGCGTAATAATTTTAGATAATGCCCCGTACCATTCTCGGTTGGTACCAGAGATAACAGAGATATAAGCAGTCATTCATAAAATATAATATTCATGGTGCCATCAATAGTTGGTACTGTATACATTCTATTTCTAGACGCGGGACGAGGCGACGAAAGGTGAGAAGTAAGAGAAGGGATAGAGTGAAGAATTTTACGTAGTTTTATCAATGAATAACTGCGCGAGCTTATACTACATAACGTAAATGTCCATGCCGGTGTAAGCCCTGTTGCCACTTCCAATCTAATATCACTAGGTTTTGGAATTTGTTGAAAATTATTACATCTAATTTAATGAAATTACATCTAATTTGGTTAAAAATGGCTATTTTTTGTTCTAATGCTCAATTAGGTCTTTGTAGGAAGTATTTTTTTTATAATTATTTAAAAAATCATTTACATTAGCTCTTATGACGGTTTCAACCGTCTACAAATTTGTATAAAAAATGTTCTTTTAGAAATATACCTCTCATTTGACGAAAAACGAAGGCATAAATGAAAAAAAAACTATTCTTTATAAAAGTTTCGCCTATGTATTGACAAGGTAAAAGTACTTTCGTCATATTTTTTGCTTTTAAATTAACAAAAATATAGCAATAAACAATTAGTGATGTCATGGTTCTACTAGAAAGCAAACATTAAAGACAGAGCCTCTCGACTCTTTATGCATCTATCTCAGTATTGAAATGAATGCAATCAGTTTGACTCTCTTATAATATTTTATACAGGGATTATTGATTTATCCACTATGAATAATAGGGTGTATTAATTATTTCAAGATTTTTTTTTATTTTTGGCGGAAAATGAAAAATAAGAAAATATAAACTATTTATTGAAGGTATTTATTGAAGTATCAATTATAAACAGTAAGGCTATTGCTTTGCAAAATACAATAAATCCCCAATATAAATAAATTATAATAATAATAATAAATGGAAGGAAGTATATAAAGCATAAATTAATAATATTAAAATTTATAATTACACGACTTTCAAACTAATCAGAGAATCAGATTCACCACACGAATCAACATTTTCCAAAACATTAGCGGCTGTGCCATACAGGTGCAGGAACCGATACAGCAAATATTTTTTTTCTGCATTTGCAAATTTACATCTTAAACAATGTAGTCTTAGGGCATCTTCAGTCGGTCGCAATTTAGCGATGGTTTTTGAAGAGGCCAATAATCCCCTCAAAATGTTAATGGAAGTAACATTGGCAGTTTTGAATAAATTTTTATGAAAATTCTTTCAAGATTAGAGAATATGTTTTCAGAGTACTGATCAATGCCAAATCCATCCAAAAAGTAATGGTGTTCAAGGTAGGTTTTCCAACAGGTTCTTTTCCCAATGCCGGACAATTAGCTGGTTGTATTACAACCGGTCAGAGAATGAAAAGCAGGCACATTTTTTTGAAGGTTTTCATCCAAATTTAAATAATGTACTGCTAGAAATCGTCTTGAGTCTCCTCGCCCTATTCTGAACCATAAATCTTTAGTCAAAAACTTCTTAAAATAAATTAATAAGACATCTGTATCGTTACAATAAATAATGCAGCGTGAATGCCCCGAATTTTTGGATGTGCAATAAGGTACGATTATTAGTGTCTTCGTGATTTCAATTTAAAAAATCGTCTTTTGATGGTTCAAAATTCTTTCCATATTTATTGATTTTCGCGAGTTTTGAAGTTGCTCTAGCAAAAAATGTGTTAAACGTCTTTTGTTAAATATCGAATGAATAAACAAGTTCTATTATTGCGGAAGTGAAATATTGGGTCGGTCAATTTCTATATCAATTGATTTCTGAAATCATCTCTTTTGACGTGTTGTATTTTTGATAGAATGTCCTTTATAATGATCAAATACCACATCTATCATTTGAACATTAAATTTATTTCTAAAAATAATGTTTACAAATATATGTTTAAATGATATGCAACTTTTGGGCTTTCCTATTTTGATATCGTTTTTGTCTTTGCTACTTGCAGCAACAAATCCGTAATTAAAATTTTAAACGAAAACTTATAACTTACCCAAATATATTCAGCTGCAACAGGATGAATGTAGATATAATAAAGATGCAAAAATGTCTATATTTTTCCCAATTTATTAGGTAATTTAATATATAACACATACACTTATTAATTCTTTAGTAAAAACAGATAACAATATGACACATTGCCCAATGGAACATAACGAGAAGTTTTATAATAAAAAAAAATGAAAAATCCTACCATATCAATAATGTGATACATCAGCCGGCACGTAGAGAGAAACAGAGCTATGCTACGTTTGAAGGTGAAGAGAAAGATACACTGAGAGTCGATAAATTTGGCGGTGAGAATTAATAACAGCATAAACCTATGACATCTCTCATCGTTTATTGTTATATCTTTGTTAATTCAAAAGCAAAAAATATGGTGTTTACTCTGTTACCTTGTCAACACATAAGCAAAAATTTTATAAGGAATGTTTTTTGTTCATTTAGGCCTTCGTTTTTTGTTAAATGAGTGGTATATTTAAAAAAGACGACTTTTTAACTAAATTTTTGAAGGGCTAAAACCAAGATATTTACGTTTATATTTTTTTTCGGCCGTAAGTGCTAATGTAAATGATTTTTTTTAAATAAGTATGAACAATTACTCCCTACAAAGATTTTATTGTGCATTTGATCAAAAAATGAGTATTTTTTTCTCTATTCGGTGGTATCAATATCTGGATTTTTGATGATAATGCCCTTCTGCAAACTCTAATTTTGTATTAACTCCGGAATAAGGGTTACCTTATCATGACCTTTCATCTGTGAAAAATTCAGCCTTGTGACAAAAGAGTGGGAAGTGAATCGTTTTCTTGAGCGAATATTTTAATACATACACTTTACTAACAATGACAACAGCGGATATTATGTCCTACTGTGTCCCTTAGAATATGTCTTATTCACGGCCGCACGATATTTGTTAGTAGTTACATCTCCTGGTTATCTCTGGTTGGTACGAAAAAACCAAATAGCAATTCTACGAAATCAGAGATTCAGGACTTTCTGATGGAGAATGATATATTTTTTGAAGAGAACTATACAAAAAAACAGTTAATAGAACTTTTACACTTAGTTGATTTTCAACCTGAATATGTTATCGACAGCAATAAAACACTGTATTTTGAACCCCATAGAATTATTATGGTCACAGTTAAAAAATTATTTTCGAGCAAATAACTCTTCTCCTAAGTCCACTTCTGTAATTGATGTAGTAAGAAATGCATTTAACTGTATAACTGTTGAAAACTGGGAAAACGCTATTTAACATGTTAAAAAAATCTAAGAGAAATATATGAGATTTAACAATACAATTCAAAAAATTAAAATAAATATTAGTGATATTATTTCAGAACATGAAATTAGTGACTGTGAAAGTGATTTAGAAATATACACGTTTTTAAATTCATTTACCTATATTTCCACAAAATAAATCTAGTGAAACATATTCGGTTACCCATATATATCGTGATAAGTCTAACATACCTTCACTGTGATCGGTGTTTGTAATACCGTTCACATTTAGCCAGAGACGAAGCTATAAATTTGTATCAAAAGTCACTTTTCATGAATTTGATTGTTTAATTATAAATTTATTTTATAGGAATCGCAGTTGAAACTGGTACTGTATTATGAGGGATTATGCCCCTACTGTCATGATTTTATACAGGAACAACTGTATCCAGCCTACCAAGCATTGGAAGGCGCCTTCCTGATAGAGTTAATTCCTCTCGGAGTAAGTAGTAACTAAATGACTACCAACCTAAAATTTGTGTGTAGTTTTAAATTGATAACGAAATCATAGTTATTTAACAACATATTCGCCTAATTCGCAAACGTAATAGAGCTGGGCGATATTTCACAGACATGTTCTTCTATCGATGTCATAAATGTTTCTCAGAAACATATGAATAGTTTCTAAGGGCCGATTCCATGACATTTTTACATTTGCAATGTAATTTTAATCTTCGTTTAGTATTTTATACTTCGTTTAATAGAACGGTGGAATTAGCCCTTAATGATTTAAGGAGACATAACCTCATTTATTTCAATTTTACTAATGACAGTATGGAGTGTGGAGAAAAGGAAGACAATGAGCATTTTCAGACCTAACAGTATTTTTTTAACACTACAAGGGACAGGATATTATTATTTTATAATTAAAAACAACAAACAAATAACATCAAAACCTTGTATTTGGGATAAGACTAATGACAACAGCAAGAACAAAATATTAGGAGAAAAAAATATTAATATTTAGGTATGTAAACTCCAAAAATAATTAAAAGTTTATTATAAATATGAAGTTTATTAAAATAACTTTAAATGAAACAATAATACAAAATAATCGAATAAACACGTAACAATAATGTCTTATTAGAAACCGACTGCATTCATCAACGGCGTTCGATGATCTGCCCATCCAAATAGTTGACCCACTGATTGGACCTTTGAATATGATTGAACGACCCTTTTCTGTCGGCCGCCCGGTTTACGATGTTTTGGTTTCCCAGAAATCGTCTCGGGTTAAGGTTAAAAATAGATTACAGGTATGTTTATTTTTTTTATTAACCACCATGAAAAAAACCCGGCGATATCTCGGGACTGTATTGTCGAATAAATGTTTTGGTGTGAAAGATCAATAGCCGATATCGTGTCGGTGTTGATGTCGTGCCGGTGTCGTGTCGGTATCGTGTCGTTAGGTCTGAAAACGCTCAATCTATATGGTTTTTTTAAATCAAAAAGTTTCCACCAAAATTTATAAAATTAATATGGCGCTCGTGTACTGAAAGGGAAAAATCCAATGATATATAGTCATAGAGATTACTTATCCATCTATAAATCAGACGACATAATTCATTATTACACGCAGCAATAAATCAGTTTTGCGAATGGCATTGTCAGGGATGCGCCAAAGTTGAAAAAAAAAAGTCGTCGAACTCAAATAGAAAAATGAACCAAGATTACTTTCAAGCACAAAGGAAAAAAGAAGTTGTGCCTACAGTTTTTTTAATAGTTTTTATTTAAGTATAATATTGTATTTTTTGTTTATTATGTTTGTTTACGTTGCACTTGTATTTTAAAAAAACCCACAGCCATAGCAAGTTTCTTGCAATTTCTTCTAGCTAGGTGTAATCGAAAGCCTAAAGCTCGTGCGACAACATTCACATTCATTAAAAAAGAGTAATTTTAAACACTTGTAAAGTAAAGTAGCTTGTATTTTACCGATTTGCAGCGCTTAAAACGACTGTTTATGGTTAAAGTGAAAAAAAGTAAAAAAGCGATAAAAAAGTCCCAAAACGTTAACTTTATTTCACGTTTTCCAGTTGATAATAGTCCGTCAGATAGTGACATGTTTAGGTGCCTCATTTTCGTATACAAGCCTCGAAGGGGGTTGAAAAGTCCCTACATCGATTTTAAGTAGTATGAAAGGAAATTTACGAGTGGCTGCTGGGGAAAACACATGGAAAATTCAATTTTCCAAAACAAAAACGAAAGGTTATTTGTTGGCCAATTTTCAATACAAGCCGTTTTCACCATATAATTAATTAATAGTACTAGGCTTCGGAAAACCAAAAGCTTTAATGTTGTAAGTGGGTAAAGGGTTACAATAAGGACATTTTTAAGGAAAAAACGAGATTTTGCCCGATTTTTCCACACAAGCCAATCGAATGTATGAACACGTACGTCGTCAATAGTCCAAAACATATTTTCTTGAATGACCCAAATGTATAAGTGCATTTTATGGTCGGAACATTTTTCTGTTAAGGAAAATCGAATTTTTTAACATTTGTTATCCCCAAGAGCCACTCGTAAATTTTCTTTTATTCCACTTAACATCGATGTACTTTTCAACCCTCTTCGAGGCTTGTATGCGAAAATGGGGCACCTAAATCGGTCACTATCTGACGGTCTATATGTGCAAGTGTTCCACACCTTTACCGGAAAAAAAAAATATGGGCTCACCTTTGACTTTGGCATAAACTGTAACTGATTTGACGTTAACAGGTTTGTTTATATTATTAATAATTCGATTTATTTTAATGTAGTAGTTGTTCCTATTATTATTAAGTGCAGCGTTTGAATATCCATATCGGTTGCATCTAAGATGTTGTGAATTTTTCATCACGTGATAGAGAATTAGATCTGTGTAATGTAATGTAATAAACAAACGCTCTAGATTTTATGGGTCGCGTGATAAATTGACAATGACAAGTTAGAAGTTTATACTTTTTAAATTTGACTTTTGAGACTACAAGTCAACCTAAATTTGAAATCTAAACAAAAATAAACAAACTAATTACTTTTACATTCATGCTAGCATAAACAAAGGATAAATTGACAAACTTGGCTTCACAGAACACTTTCTTTCTGGCATGGAACGAACATCTCATTTCAAATCGAGATGTAAAAAATGTAATCTGGACAGATACATCTCGGATAAACAAATGCAGATGTAGATGTAGTAGATGTGTCCGATGTGGATAAACAAACGCTGGAGATGTATGAAATGCATCGGATGTGGATATTCAAACGCGGCAATTAATGGTGAAGATTCCGAGTTTGAAATATGTACTACCGGAGAAATTATAGAAAAGACAAATGTGGCCACACTAAATTTGCTGCCGGAGAATTCCAAAGAAACTTATCTAAATGAATATGACACTTTTATTTAATGGCAGAACCAGTATAATATTTATAGCTTTCAGAGCAGGTGCTATTAGTTTTTTTTTCTTTTAAAAAAGGTGTAAAAAATTCAAGTTTTTCATATTATGGTCCAGCTATTCTAAACTAAAAGCAACCTTATATATTAATGATAACATTTTAAATATTCTAAACTAATAGCATTTCTGAAGGAGTTTAATTAAAATATTCCAAATTACTATTTTGATTTTAATATTTGTATAGGGCTGTAGAAAAAATATTGTGTACAGCATATGCATAAAGTGTCTTTTCTTCACTCATGAAATTGCCACACTCGCCTCACGGCTCGTGCGGTCAACTTTTCCATTAGTGAGAAAGTACCAGTTTATGCACTTGTTGCATAAATTACTTATTCAATGTCAATATAATATTTATTCTCAGTGTATAGCATTTATTATGCTTCATTAATTTTTTTTCTCGTTGTATTATACCGGCTATCCGTCTCATAAGTCAAATTCAAGGTCACATATTTTATTCTTCGCACTTCAAAGGACCAGCAAATATTGTCGCTTCTCTGTGGTTGCTATTCTGGGTCTACACTCCATAAATCACAGTAACGGTTCACATTGTGTTTAAAAACTCACGATATCGCCCAACTCTACATTTTCTCTGAATTAACGTTGACGTTTATATCTGTAAACATGTACAGGTATATATTTAAAAATAATTTATGATTTCGAATATATTGGTATAATTTATTAATCAACTATTAAATCTAGAAGATATTTAAAAAAAAAACACCTACCTTTATCAAGATTTGGCTTTAAACTCTTTAAAATTATATTTAAAAAACTTCAGTTGGTATTCTTTTCCGTTTTTTTTTTAGTGGGAAGTTAAGACTGATGATGGATGGGAATGTCAACATGGACCTGATGAGTGCTTCCTTAACAAAGTTGATGCTTGCCTTATCAGTCTAAAACCTCCTCAGTTACAATTATTAGGTTTTATTAATTGTAATGCAAACAGAACAAGTATGGAATTAACCGTCGATGAGACTAAAGACGTAGTTAAACAGGTAAATTCGGTTTAAGTACAGTAAGATCTCCTCAAGAGCGTCCAATATTATTAATATAAATACGAATAAAACTCACGACGAAACTGAAGCTACAGTTAAACAAGTAAAATGAGTTTTCGATTTAGTACAGTATTATCTTCTCAAAAATATCACGATTAATACGCTAATTTTAACTATTACTGTAGTCTAAAGAAGAAAGGAGTGCAGTAATTTAATTTTCAGAACGTAGTACGGGTTCAAGAGGTAGACATTTTAGTTATACCTAATCTTTCAATGCTTATTTGTACCCGAAATGAAAATTTTAATAAATCTGATCAGCCTAATAAAAGTTTTTGGTTTAGATTTAGTCATGTTTTCATGGTTTTTACTATATTAAACCTCTTATTTTGACAGATAAGTCATACTATATTTATTCATAGCCGTATCATATGTATTAGTATATATTATAATTTTACAGTTATTTGAGAATGGCGAGTGCATTAGAAAACGGTGCAAGCACAATTACGCGTAAACGACCTAGTGGACAGCATTATTTTTAGAAGAAAAAAATATCGTACTTAAGAAGAAAATTTACATTACAAACTAAAAGACCTGCGGGGTAACGGTAGTTTAGTAGGTATAAAAATTACAACTTAAGGGTAGAGCCTAAATACTACAAAATTACTTCCGAGACTAGACAAAATCAGCATACATTAATAATTTTAACAACTGCATGTAGATACGAGGGATACATATTCTAAACTCTAACGCGCGAAGTTGAGACAAAGGAATCGAAAAATATTCCACAATAGCACAAAATAATAATAATTTTACAATAATTAATTATCTTAGAGTAGAAAAGCGTCCATAGTTTAGCAATACATTCGCTCTTGTACTACCGATGTCCTCGATTCAAAAAGCCAAAGTAACAAATACATGAGATCAATGTAAACGGACAATAAACGGTCTTCTGCCATTTTATATTTTTAAATAATTTATTCATTTGGGCAAAAACAACAAATGAATTGAAAGAATAA